TTTTTTTTTAAAAAAAATACTTACTATTGTTTTCTTACAGTCATGCCCTCTGCAAAGTTCTGTGTAAGATGAGTACTGAACATAAATAATCCAGCTGCCAATAAATACTCCTAGCCAAGAGAAGAAGAGATATTTCATCCGCATATAAGAGAAGCGAACCTTGAGACAGAGAAAGACAAGTGGAAAGGGAAAAGTTCCAGTCATATTTATGATATTTAAGAAAATCTTGGTTCCCCTGTGCTAGAAAGGAAGCATATAACAATAAAAAAGACTTGTGTGTTTCCCTCTCCTTTAGAATTTTAAAGAGGCAGGAAAAAAATCTAGGGAATTAGACCACCTTCTTTCATTCTATGATTGGCACACAAGCTCTCTATCGTTCATCCCACCTAAAATCAATCAATCAACGTACATGCACATGTATGAATTACATACCTGACTCTGAGCTTTATTCTCATTCTGGTACTAGCCCAACAAGCCTAGCTAACCTAATAACAATACACTAATGATCCCATAGCAAACTCATTCATGCCCAGATCTAGCTTATATACATGCCTTGACTTCCCTTTTTGCAATTCCAGGTTACTCACAGAATAGCATCACAGACTTCCTCTCTTGTTTCTGTCATTCATTCTCCCACTCAGCGGACCTCCAGAGCATTTTTTCCTCCCTCAATTAATCCTTATTGTCATTTGCCTGATCTCTTCTTTCTACAATAGTAATAGACCGAAAATGTGAAGTGGAAGAAAGGACTAAGTTCAACATAAATTTCCTCTCTGCAGTCATGAGTAATGTTCAGTTTGCCAGACTGCTTCTCCCACTTTCTCCTAATTTAGGAATGTCCAAATTTCTTCATAATATTGCTCTTTTCTACAACATAATTTGGACTTTATTAGACTTGGCTGGTGACTCTCCATATTTTGCAAAATAGCAGCTTACAGTAGCCTCAATCTGCACGGCTAATATTAAATAATGGTTGTAGTTAAACATTCAAGTAATATTCAAACAGTACCCAATTTGTGTGTGTGTGTGTGTGNGAGCCCCAGCTGCATTGTTATTCCTGCATCCCGACTCAACTCACAGCAAAAATCTGCTGAGTCACAACAGCTGAGGATATGAAATGTAAAATTATATAGGCGAAATATCCCTTCTTTCGGTTACCTGTCTTTATACTTGATCACAGCATCAACGATCTTCTTCATTTTCTTAGTGAGGTTGGGTGGATTCGGAGAGAGCTTCTCAGCCGGGGGCCGGCCACGCTTTTTCTGCTTTTTGCTGTCGTCGTCTTTGTCCCGGCTACGAGTGCTGGTGGTCGGGGTGGAGGAGCTGACGTCCACGTCTCTCTTGCGCTTGCGGGAGGATTTCTTCTGACGCACCTCCTCTTCGATCTCCTCCAGGGTCCCCTCTTCTATGGCCTACAGATAAGAGCAGCAGTCAGTCAGCCGGGCGCAATGAAAAGCAAGTGGGACACTGCGGAATGACTGAACACTCACACACAGCCGAGCCACCTAAGCAGAAGTGAGGAATGGGATGTCTACACGGGCTGCTTTCCCCCAAAGGCATCACTTCCCAGCGTAGTCAAGTTATGGATCATGGAAGGCTGCAACACTAAAAGGTGGGAAGGAAAGCTGGTTCTCTTACCTACAAAGCTTTTCTCCTCATGTTAAACAGGGCCAACAGGCAGAAGACTCTGTAGAAACCAGGCAGGAGGGCAGGTTGTGGGGATGCCCCTTTCCTGCCAGTTCTCGTTGCAGTTTCTTCCAAAGCAGCAAGGAGACATGAGGCTACCAACCACCCGTTAGCCATAAATTTTTATGCTTCAGATTGCACAGCAAGAGAGGAAAAGAAGTAAGTTGACTGAAGGCCATGTATAACAGAAGTAGGAAAACTCAGAGAAGTACAACTACCCGTCTTTCATTTTTAGCGTCATACATGGCTATAGGATCTCACTTACTCAACAGTCAAGAGCAAAGGAACCTGGGGTTGAAACTGCGTCAGCTCTGTAACGTCAGCCAATCATGGGAAGCCTTTATGTGGAGAATGGCCTGCCAACAGGGTTCTACTTCGTTCATCGTTTGTTCCTTACATGACATTTAAAAGCAAACAGAGTTTCTGACCTCAAATAGCTTTGCAGGACCTCTTAGGAGATGTACCTTATGAAAAAGGATGAAACCAAGGAGACCATTCTTTAATATAGCAATAAAAATCACTAACTCCGGGAGGGAGGGTGAGAAGGAAGGGAGGGAGTGTATTGGGAGAGAGGAGTGGTAGAGGGGGAGAGGAAGTAGGGTAGAGGGGAATGTTGGAGGGAAGAAGGAAAGTTGGAGGGGGGGGGTGAAAGAAAGGGTGTATGGAGGGTCGAAGTGGCACATTGGATTTGTATTTTTGGGGGTATTGTTGACGAGAGGAATGGCTGTGTTTATTGTTTATTGTTATATATGGCCCCAGTTATGCACAGTATATATGTGACTGTACGAAATGAAAATGGAAAATAAAAACACATTTACAAAAGAAAAGCCAGTT